AGGTCTTCACTTTTTGGACGTCCGTCTCCCCAAGTGTGGCTGCTCCTCTCTCCACCGCTGCAAAAGCTTCAGCACTGGATTCTGCCAAGCCGCTCGGTTCTCCTGTGGAAAGAACACACCACTAAATCGCTGTGCAGCTCTCACAAACTTCAGCCATCCAGAATACTCACCTCTCCCTCAGGACCGGTCCCTCCGCAGAGTTATCAATTCAAATTAATCCTGCTAAAGAACTCTCAGTTTGTTTCTACACGTACTCGCCATACCTACCTTTTCCAGTGATTATCCTCCTCGAATCCTTGCTTCCTCTTGGTCTCTCGATTCCTCTGATACAGAAGAAAATAAACTGTTAAGAAAAAGTTGTTTGAGTCTGAGTGTGCTGTGTCTGCTTAAGAGTCACTTATTCTGAATCATGACAAAGTCAAAATCTTTTTTCGTGTGTCTGTGTGTGTTTGTGTTAATGGAAACATTTTGGGTGAGTGATTTTACAACCCTAAGGAATAAAATGCTGTGAACAAGGGTTAGCAGCAAGTGTACCTCTTACGCTCTCCAAGTTTCTCATCTAGGCCAAACATCTTGACTTCATTTGCATATAAAATATTTTAATGGGCAGAGCTTTATAAAGTCCATTAAATCAATAAAAATTGTGAATTATTTACAGTTTGATAATTTGTTGAAGCACCTGCTCTTTTGGATTTGTCCTCCCCATGCAAATAAACTTTAATATCCTCCTAAAAGGCAGCTGATTTATTAACCATCAGATTGTCGTTGCATGAGCTCATTCCAAGTAAGCTACATATATGCGATTGAATATAATTTGTCACACAAATAATTTATAACACTTGCAAATGTTTTATCACATCACAATATTCTACTGTTCCTGGTAAAATAGTTTGATTGGTAAATGTTTCCCAATCAGAAACAGATGCAAATGTGGAGCTGCCCTTATGTCTAGTGACCTGACCCATTAGTTTCTATATTAACATTCTTAAATGTTCTAAATGTCTTAAAAATTAAACCTGCTCGCATTAACTTTCTAGTCTTTGTGGTTTTTAAATAATAAGATGCAGGACCTTATTCCTAACCCATATGAGGCATTCTACCCTTTTCCGATTCAAGACCATGGTCTTGCATTTAGAGGAACTGATTCTCAACCCAGCTGCTTCACATTGCTCCAGTGAGAGCCGAAGATCACGTTCTGATGAAGCCAACAGGACCACATCCTTTGCAAAAAGCAGAGACCTGATCCTCAGGCCACCAAAACAGATCCCCTCAACACCTTGGCTACACCTAGAAATCCATAAAAGTTCTGAACAGAACTGGTGACAAATGGCAGTCCTGGTGGAGTCCAACTCTCACCAGACACGAGCCTGACTTACTGCCGGTAATGCGGACCAAGCTCTGACACCGGTGGTACAGGGACCTAACAGCTCATATCAGAGGACCTGGTACCCCAATTCTTATGAAGAAATTCCCCCAAAAGGATCCCCCCAACCTAACCCCATGCAAAAAAAAAAACTGCAGCAGGGACTCAAACCTGCAGCATTCCTGCTGCGAAACAACAGTGCTACCATGCTGCTGGAAATAATAAAATAATACATTTATTATTCATATTTATTACTGATAAGTTAATATTCCCAACAGTTAATTTCATTTACTTAACCTTGTCCCTGTTGTAAGGGTGCGTTCAGCCATTTATTCAAAAGGTTTTTAGTTTATTAACGGATACATGTAGTTCTTTTTGTGAAATCCACACATTTGCTGCAAGGTAAAAACAAATAACAAGCAAAAAGCTAATTAGCAAAGCACCTGTCAGAAACTCCTAAAATATTAATCGGTCTGTGATGTTTTAGTTTTAAAGTATTTTTTATTTTTAACTGAATCTGGTTTGAAGCTTCACCGTAAAACAGAAAAACTGGCTTATTGGTTCATTTCTGGTTGGAGCACATTTGTACAGTCAACACCACACACACACACACACACACACACACACACACACACACACACACACACACACACACACACACACACAGACACACACACACACACACACACACACACACACACACACACACACACACACACACACACACACACACACACACACACACACACACACACACACACACACAGAGTCTTTCAGGCTCAGCCCACTCCTCTCACCACCAGCATGTAATTGGTGTGCACCCACAACCTCTATTGCCAGATTAAAGTCATATCAGTGTCACCCCAACCCCCACCCTCTCTCTGTGCCTAAAAGCATGACACTGATGTCACTGAAAGCCCATCAGCAAAGGTCCGGCAGTTATTGCTTCTGACTCACACATTAAGTGTCTCGTTTCGGTTTTATAATTTACCTCGTGCCAGATTACTTTACTCACAAAGATATTTTAGATTGGGATTTTCCCGAGCCTTTCTCACTCTACTGGAAAATGAGGTGAATTTGACTCAGCCAACTATCTATAACTGAGATATTATTTAAATGAACAGATCTGTCCCTGACTACTGAAAATTAAAAATGTTAACATATGAATTTTGTAGTATCTGGTTAAATAGACTGATGGGTCTGATGGCCTGATTATAAGTTTTATTACATTAAATCCTAACCCTACTCCTAATGGGAGAGATTCATTTAGGAGGAACAGAGGTAAATTCTGATTAGACAGATGAGCTTATAGATAGTTAGGGTGAGGCTAGTAACAAAGTGGTTCATGTGAACTCTAGACTGCTCTACATTTGTTAATAAATTGGTATTTCAGGTACAATATGAACTTAAAAAAAGACATAATATGCAAAATTCACCTTTTGTATCATGTTGTGCTGCTACGGCTCTCTACTGTAGACAAACATTAAAAAATCATTCCGCTTTCTGTCAGTGCTTGGTTTTAGGAATTATGCGCCTAAAACAAACCGCTTCGAAAGGTCCTCATTTGTGATGTCACAAATGTGGAAATTAGAGAGAGTAGTAGTGAATCTACTTTGAGCTTCTCCCAGATATCGGAGCATCTCAGCTAGTTGTCCCTTTGCACCTACGTCACGTGGATCTAATATATTGGTTGGCAAAAGCATGTAAACAGTGAGCGACACATGTAGAGCCTGAAATTGTTTTTGTTGTTGTTTTTTATGCAACACAAGCATTCCTTCAACTAGTTCAAGCCCAGTTCAGTTATCAGAAGAAGTAGCGCACCTAGGCGGGGCTCATAGAGAGGTGTATGTTAACTAGCTTACGAACGTTAGCTTAAGTTCTCGCGGCTGTTCACCGATGTAAACATGTTGCTGACTTAGGCGAAATTCACCCCGCTGGATTTAAAATATGTTATAAAGAGCACTTCACTTTTACACCGAAGCTGATTTAAAAAAGAAGTCTAGATCCCTACTGGTTTTGTTGCTGGTGGTGTTATCGGGCTCAGCTGCTGCTCTCACACTGGGATGAGACCAGATATCTCTGAACGGCGATGCTCATACTAAATAAATAACATAATTTTAACACATGTAATCATACATTGGCATTATAATATTGTAAATAATTATCTCTCATTTCACTACAATGGACGATACCATGTGTCCTCCGTGGTTAAATATCCATCCATTAGGATTATCGATATAATAACATCACATTTATCCCTGTCCCTGTTTTCCTCATGGAATATACGAATGTTAATCTTACCTGGTAAAAACATGTTCTCTGCAAATCCCAAGATACTTTGAGGGCTGCTAGTCAATTTGATTGATCGCTGCAGTTTATCTCTGCCTTCAGTCTCCATCAAAGTATTTGGAAAAAAAAAAAAAAGAGAAATAAGTTGACTTTACATCCTTGTCTGTTAGTGCAGCCAACAGCGCAGCAAGCTGCTACCATTTTACTGTGAAGTCAACTCAATAAAAGCTATGAAAGGCTACAAACTGGCTTTTTTGGACCAACTTCACTGGAATTAGAACATGTGTAAACAATCTCTTTTCCAAAAATCATGGCAAAGGGGGCGGTCCTATGAGTGGCGTGAAGTCACGTGCAAAGGGTCAATAGCCTGAGTGGGGGAGGGGTGGGTGTGGCCAGCTACAGCGCGTTTTCTTAAAGTGACAGAGCCCTGAAACAGCTCATTCTGGAAGATACTGAAAATGACAAAAATAACAGTGTTGGGTTTGCTTCATGTGAAAAGGAATTTATGCAAAGAATTTCATAAAAATGTTTTAAATAGACCATAGGACTATTATATCTTAAAAAAATAATTATAACAGGTCTCCTTTAAAGTATGAATAGCAAATCTACAGCACAAGCTAGCTTTGAAACATGAACATGGTAACGGTACACTCATCCCTCCCATCAGGTATAATTCCTGGACTGCCTCTGCCTGAATAGGAAACCTGAATTGCCAAAGGATATGAGGTAGTGCTAAACACCAGTGTGTTCTTTTTAAAAACAGAAATCACATGAATTGGCCATGCCAAGACTAGCCATTAGCTTGTCAATCCAACCAGGACCAATTTCTTTTATTATTTTTTTTCTAACTAAGGTTATTCAAAGAGCTAAAACAGATAAGATATTAATTTTTTTTCATTATTTCCACAGAAAACTTAAAAATATAAAAAATAAATCATTCAGAAATGAATCTACTTCCAACCCTCTCAGTTCTGGGACTCGAACACCATGTGACCTTTTTGGACAATAACAAAGTAAATATGCAGATCATTTGCAGACAAATGAAGAAGATCTGATGTTTTTCAGATGTTTTGTTCTCAATTAGAGTGAAAAGGAGACAATTTAATAAGTAAATAAGCACGGTACCACTCCCAGGTTGTTGGGTGAAATGCGGAGGTATCATAATACCAACAGCACTCAGACATCCAGAGGTTGAGACCGTAACTTTAGACTCGTTTGATGTTAGAAACAATCCTCTGAATGTATCGATTGTGGTTTCTTGTACCCAAATCAGACACTGTGGATAAAGTTCAGACATAGCGTATTTAAAGTGAACACATTTCTTAGTTTCTGTTTCATCTCATTACAGATTTATCCAAGAATCATCTGACAGAAATTCCCCCAGAAGTGTGTCTGTTCGCCCCCCTCGAGTCTCTCAACCTCTACCACAACTGCATCAAATGCATCCCAGAAGCCATCATCAACCTGCAGATGCTGACCTATCTTGATATCAGGTGAGCTATCACTGAAATATCTGCTTTATAATTTTTTTGCTGAATTCCTGTTCAGTTCCTCAGCTTCCAGTGCTCTGTCTCCGTAGAGGTTCATGTTCTGCTTTTGCTGCACAAATACCAAAAACTAGCTCACATGAAAGAGTGACGTTTCCTCTTTTGCAGAACCTCAATTCCCGGTGTGTCTGACACTGATCTAAATGTAGGTCAACTTTTTCCCCTCCACAGCCGAAACCTTCTGACAGTGTTGCCAAAATACCTGTTCAGCCTCCCCCTCAAAGTCCTTCTAGTGAGCAACAACAAGCTGGTCTCCATCCCTGATGAGATCGGTAGGGCCAAAGAGCTGATGGAACTGGTGAGCAGTGTGTGTGTGTGTGTGTGTGTGTGTGTGCATCAGATCTTTGTGCGTTTGCAGTTAAAGCCATCTCATTTAATTTCTTTTCTGCTGGCAGGATGTGAGCTGCAATGAGATCCAGGTCCTGCCAGCTCAGGTGGGGCGGCTCCAGGCCTTACGGGAACTTAACATCAGGAAGAACTGTCTTCACATGCTGCCCGAGGGTTAGTAAATCCAGCATGAGTTGCAGTTTTTGTTCGGTTGTGCTTTGCGCTCTTACAGTGCCCTGTCATTAGCTGACAGTTTTGGCTGTGATGCTTGTCCTCTCTCCCTGCCAAAACCCATCAAATGTGTTTTGTAAGGGCTGTTGAGTTCATAATCAAAGAAGTAAAGATTACAGAAGTGATAATCAGTAACAAGAATATTTTAGACTGAAACAGATGTCACTAAAGGTTTTTACTTGGCAGAAAGTTGCTGACATTACTGTGGAGGTGGTGAGCAGTGTGTACGCATGCACGCCTGTGTGTGTGTGTGTGTGCTTGTGTGTGTGCATGAGCAGACTAAATAAAACAGTGAAGACTTGTATCACAGGGGAAAATATTTTGTTCAAGTTCCTAATGATCTCAAAAGTTGCATAACTATTGCTCTTTAGAAATAACACCAGTTGGAACAAAGATTTTATTTTGCTGATGTTTACGTTTATGTTTATTTATTTGGCAGACACTTTTATCCAAAGCTACTTACAATTTATAACCTATAGGGCATGTTGTGGTCTTTGTTTTGTGTCTGATCCTTTACAATTACAAAAACACAGTTTTTACTGAAATATTAGAAATTTTTAATATTACTACATTTAGTTGGCCTAAAATCTTTATGCAAGTTTCAAAAGTCGAAATAAAAAACAATTAAACACATTTCAGGATATTATTGCATCTTGTGTGAGCGACAAGTTAATATTAATTTGCATAAGTAAGTATTTGATGTTTTCCATCATAGGCAACGTTTCTCTTTTATATATTTTCAAATAAGACAAAATAAAACATATTTGCTAAAAACTTAATACGACCTGTACTCATGCTTGGATGATGTTAGCGTTCAAGCTGGGGCAAAACGATGAACTTTTTAGCTGAAAAATCCCCAATTTGAATAAAAATGACTATTTAAAAAAAATGAAAATCTCTTAGATTTAAGACAGAGATTCTCAAGAAGTTGTTTTATTTTAGAAAATGGTCACCAGAAAAGAGTTAGAGTTTTCTAAGGAATGAATAAAAGTTTAATATACAATTAACGAAAGCCGCCAAGTTCAGTAAGTCAAGCTTTAAATCCTGGAAATGTGATCAAGACCTTTTCTTCTGAGGTTTATTGAAAATTCAGTTATTCCTCTATAAGTGGAGTAATAAGGTTCATTTTAGTAGACTGTTTAATTTCTACTACTATCCTTACTATTTTAAACATTGTTGTAGATTGCATGGTCAGAGCTGAGGCCCAGATCTCCTCTCTCCTTTCAGAGCTGGCTGATCTGCCCCTCATCAGACTCGACTTCTCCTGCAATAAGATCACAGAGATTCCTCCAGCTTTTAGGAAACTCAGGCAACTGCAGGGCATCATCTTAGACAACAATCCTATGCAGTCTCCACCTGCACAGGTGAGGTTCTGTTTTTGTTCTGTTTGTAAGGAACGTGTCAAATAAAACTGATACAGCTGCACCATCTAGTGGATGTAAGTGCACATCTTTTTCTCTGGTTGCAATTGTTCAGGCTCAGAATAGCTGTGTATACCTCTGTTTCAGATTTGCCTGAAGGGCAAAGTGCACATATTCAAATACTTGAACATCCAGGCTTGCAGAACAGACAAGAAACCAGACACGTTGGACCTGCCGTCCCTCAGCAAACGCTGCCTTCCTCAGCTGCTCACAGATAGGTAATGATAGATTTGTTAGATCATGACTCGCAGCGTTTAGTCACAATTACACTTATCTTTGTAATTTCAATGCATTTCCCCCTCTATCGTTTCTGATCATTCCAGCATGGAAGATTTTTATCCCAGTAAGAGCCACGGACCTGACTCTGGAATCGGTAGTGACAATGGTGACAAGAGGCTGTCAACAACAGAGGTCAGAGTTCACTTTGTCCTGCAGGTGACCAGGTGTGAAAGAGATGTCCTGCAAGGCAATCTGCAGCTACAGTGCATCCCTAAAGCATTCACAGCTTTTTCCACATTTTCTGAGGTTACAGCCTTTTTCCAAAAGCCATTAAATAGTTCTTGTCCTCAAAATTCTACCCACAACACCCC